CGCGCGGCCGCCGGACCAGCCCGGGGCAGGGCGGGCGGCAAGCGATGCTGCGCCTTCAGTCCGAACCCCGCTTTGCGCAGGTGTCCCCGAGCAGTGGTTCTGCTTCCACAGAGGAGCTGCTCCTCAAATAAACGAGGGTGAGACCGCAGCGCCTGGCGTTCCAACGCGGCACCTTGGGAGTGCTAAAGCTGCACTTGCAGTGTCAAACGCTGCTTCCAGCTGGAAAACGTTTCTGTTGCTTCAGCCCTTTGGCTCCCCTTGCTCTCCCCAGAGAAGCGCCCCGTACGGCACTGCGGGTTTGCGGCGCGGAGCTCCACGTGGATTCAAGGACCCGTACAGCGACAGGGAGAGGTGAGCTGAGAGACCGGGTACCCGAGCTGGCCAGGCCTCCCGCTCGTGGAGGTGACCGACACAAACACAGAGCAGGTCCTCCGCTAGCCTTGCTGCGCAGTTTGTGGCCGAGGACAGCTGAACCGGGGCTGCTGCCTGACTTTTGACTTCACTGAATCTTTTAAGGGAGAAAAAATTGGAAGAGAGTGGGGCAGCTTTCCTCAGTGAAAAACATTGTAGGTGTGAGTCACCTGCAATTAAAGCTCGCGGGGAGCTTCCCATGAGAGCCCGGGCATCTGGGGCGGCTGCGCCCCAACACGGCGGCCAAGTACGCAGCTCAGAAATGTACAGCGCGAGCACTGCGGGCATCTGTTTATCTGTTGGTGATAAATTGATCGAGGTTGTTCTCAGCCAAAGAGAAAAGCTTCAGACCTCCCTGCAGTACTTTTTTCCTTTTGTTTCTAAGCAAACCAATTACCCCTTGGAAAGCAGCAGCCCTGTACACAAATCGTTACTCAGAAGACGGCTGTTTTGTGCAACGATCCTTTTCTTCCCTCCTGCGCCTCAGCGAGCAGCACGAGCCGCTCTCGCTGGCCACCCTTGGTGTCGCTGCGCTCGGGTTCGCCAAAAGGTGTAAAGGGCTTTATCCTGCAGGCTGGAACTGGCTCCTGGCTGGGATCGTGCACCTCGATCAGGAATTCTGGAGAACTCGCCGTAACATCACTGTGCCTTCGGATGGGTACATCTAAAATTACAGCTGGGCAGCTGCGTGCACTCTTGCAAGGAGCTTACAACTCCCGTCCTCGCTTACCTTGCGCATTCGGAGCCCCAGCAGCTCAGCACAACCCCACCACTCCCAGGCAGCGAAAATCCAGCGACCAGCAAGGGCAGAGAGCTGCTGGAGGAGCTGGGAAGAAGCCGGGCAGCTGCGAGCCCCCAGTCCTCCCTGCGTCTCCTCGCAGCCCGGCGTCGCTGCGTGCCGGGAGGGACGAGCGGCCCTTGTCTCTCCAGTGCCTTGGGAACGGGGGATTACAGAGCAGAGCTACCCCACAGCAGTCACTTTGGATTTCTCAGATCAAGGGTAAGGGGAAGGAGGTTGCTCCGGTAGGTACCCCCTCATCCGGCACAGGGACCTCTGGGAAACCAGCTCAACAGCCTCTTTTCCCCAGGGACTCCTCTCACAGCCCTGCTAATGCAACCCCAGCAGCCAGGAGAGGCCAGGGTGGGCCCAGAGCCCGCTGAGGGCAGCTCAAGCAGCATGTGGGGCCCTGCTCCAGGACAGCCAGGCTGGAGAGTAAAATGATGCAAAAAATACAATTTACAATTCAAATCAGTCTGCGCCAGGCTAAAGCTCTGCCCAGAGCCACTTCTGAACTTGCAGCGGCAAGCTTCAAAGCCTCCCTGCCTCCCCGGGTCGCAGCGGGGATGAGGGGTGACAGCTAGGAGAGGCCCAGACCACACACCTCCCTCCAAAGCAGATGTTCTCAGACCCGTCCCTGCTCTCCTGTGCCGTCTCTTGCCACTTACATCAAGCTCCAAGTGACTACGCCCGCGGTTTCCAGTGGGGAGAGAATCCGAGCTGCAGCCACCGGCACTCACCTGGAACTCCTTGTTACAAAGCGCTGGGACCCAGCGTCCTTCAGCCGCCGTCTCCTCCTGCCCTCCTCCCCAACAAAGACAGCAGAAAGTAGGCAGAAATAGACCTTTAATGAACTATACAAAAAAGAGCCTGGTGGTTCCTTCTCCCCGCCAGTTCCGGTGCGCTCAGCAGAAGAGGTGCAAGACTTTGCGGAAGAAGTTCCTGAACTCCGCGTTGAAAACGGTGTAAATGATGGGGTTGAGAGCGCTGTTGACGTAACCCAGCCACGTGACAGTGCTGGTGACTTGAGTGGGAATGGTGCAGGACTTGCAGAGAGCCCTGGTAATGTGGACCACAAAAAAAGGTGTCCAGCAGAAGAGGAAAGCACCTGCCAGAAGGACATTGAAGAGAGAAAGTGATGTGAGTGTTAAAAAGGGTTTGATTTAACGAACGCAGCCTGGGCCAAACTTGAACGGAGACAGCTCAGAGTGCTTAGGGAAAAAGCAGCTGATGTGCTGACGTGTAGAGCTGGGCGTGCGCCCAGACAGAAAATTCAGGGCATCTTTCTCACCCTAAATGAAGAAAAGTGTTATGTGTTCGTTTTGGATTCGCATTTAAGCTATCAGGAGCCACGGGTTCACCTTGAAGAAAAGGTTGGACTGCAGACACTGCGCGCACATTCTCTGCCGCGGGTGGTGGCTGTTGGCACTGCTCTGGCTCAGAGGGATACCGAGATGGTCCCGGGAGCAACATCCTCTCACAGCGAGAGAGGGGCACGGCAGAGCTGCAGACAACCAGGCTGTTCCCCGGAACGAGGAGGGTGAGTGTTAAAACGAGCTCACACGTGATGGAGAGGGAGCAGAACGAAAGACTGGGGAGGTGGAACGAGAGGGAGGTGGCTTTTATGTCACCCTCGCGTCCTCCAGCAAGGAGAAAGCGTGGCTCTCGGCGTGACACCTCTCCTCGCGTGCCTGGGCAGCGTGGCTCGTGGCAGGGCAGCCCGCAAAGCCCCTGCCCACTTCGCCAGGTTCAGAGGAGTC